AGGTATTAGTGAGGTGTGTCTCAATTGGGAGAGAGGGGCGGCCTAGCACACCTGGTGGCCACCATGATTATCTCGAGGTACCTTACCTGGTATGAGTAGTATGACCTACAACTTCTGACGAGCGGGTCGTACTATTTGCGAGCGCCCCCCAATCAGCTGCTGCACGGCCCTCCCAGACGATGGGCTGGCTGTTGCACCTGCAGGTCGACCTTGTTGCGGTCTCCGGCTGGCGGGCGATATGATACGGCACGCGGCCTTGTTAACACAACCGCTGATGCTGCAGGGAGCCGCCGGTCCGCAAGTTGCGATCCTTATTATGGAGCCCCTTTGGTACCCTTTGGGATGGGGGCTTTAAATAAAGGCGCGTGAGGTGTGGTGTCGAGTTTCGCAAGTAAACGAGTAAACGGGGTTTGGCTCTCTGGCCCGCCCTTGGATTTGCAGAATGGGTGGCTCAGCTGCCGTTGACCGTAATACCGAAGAGGACTGGGCAGGACTGGGCGAGCAACTTCGCCTATTTTCGGTACGTCCTTTACCAGGTTTCAGGGTCAATTGGTTCCTCAGGGCGAGGGTGTGGTGTTTCTGTGCGGACTGCCTCTACTGCGTGCAAGGGCACGACGCACGGATTGCAGTTTGTTGTGCTTTTTTGGGGGTGGAAAATAAAAAAACGAGATTTGAGACTGTGACAACTGATCTCAGGAATAGCGTGAGTGGGATAGTGACCAAGAGTATGCAGCCACGAAATGCCAGGGGTCGTAACGGTAATGTCGATACGGGAAATCTTGTTTTGATTATCTCCTTCTCTTTCAGTTTAACAGTACACTGCCCCCCAGAATGGTAGGTGAGCTTGGAAAACCACACTGCTCAGTTTATGACAAGTAATTGCAAGTAATATATAAATAATATAAGTCGGTAGGGAGACGGGCAGGAGAGACAGTGCTGAGCAAGGGAATGCCCAGCAAGACCATTCACAAAAGCCCACCCCGGAGAAAATAGGCCAGGCTAGGCTAGCAAATAGTGATATGAGTGCTTGACTCAGGGCCTCAGGCTGGCTTAAGCTCAGGGAAACAGCCGTTCTGCTCGCTTCCACGGGCAACGGAACCTCGCTAAAGCCAAAACGGGGAATCGGGACTGAGGAATAATAGGTGAGGTTGGGACGCATGTACCGGCAAGTGTGTATGTGTATGTGCAGCTGCATGCATGAAAGTGCGAGTGTACCTTGATGATGATGCTGGGGAATGCGGTGGGAAAAGGCTCGCACGTGTGACCACTCACGGGGTTGGCCTGGGCACCTAGCATAAGACTGGGCTTGTTGTATTGGTCATGAGCGCATGGCCACTCGCCATGAACCCGCAAGAGCGCACTAGATACATATTTAGCCGTGTGTTTGTGGGCTGTATATCCCTTTTATATGTAATGCCGGCCAGGCTGTACAAGGCATCGAGATGGGGGCCTCGCCTGCTGTGAGGGTACGAGGAAGGAAGGTCAGTCACAAAAGTATGGGACAATGGGGGCATTAGTTGGCAGGCTGACGATATCGCGGCTTCTAGAGTCGTCATCGCCGCCTTGTCCTCAATACCGATGCATGCGTGGCATTCTATTTGCTCCGGAGGGTATCGTGGCCAGCACATAAATGAAGAGAATGAGCCTGTCTCGGTGATTGAACCTGCCAGCAACCGTTATTAGGCTGCCGGCTCCCGCTGTTGGCCTCGTCAAATGAGCGTTCCCCATCCAATGTTACATAGCATGTATGTGCCACTCGCCGTACACGCCCTCGCTCACGATGCTGGGACTTTCGGTCAGACCCAACCATTACAAACTAACTACAAATGGGGCTGTCATCATCAACAGCGATTACGGCGTAATGGGCTGCGTGCCTGGATTGACCAAGATCGATGTGACGCTTCACTGCCTGCCTCTGTGCTCGATTCTCCCGACGCTGACATACGTACACATGTAGGCATATCCATGTACATATGATATGCATGTTTCTGTTCTCCGGTCTCCTCTTCCATAAGTTGTATGATGTGCATGTTTTTAGATTATTAGAGGCTGGCTCATGAGCATGCTCGAAAAGACCCAATCCTACTGGAGCGGGTACCCTGCCGCGGCCAGATACCCTTGGCTGGCTTGTGCTTAAAAATACTGCCGTGGAGGCAGGCGAAGGCACCGACTGGGACCATGTCCGAGATCACAGACATCTCCGATAGTCATTTCGAAGTTTGGAATGACCCCATAGCGTAGCAGGTTCACCGTGCACGAACGCCCATTGCTGGACCGCGCGTGGTGTAGAGAGAAAAGAGTCATGGGTTCAGGTCGATAGTCGTCGACGTGCCCCACGATGCTGCTTCTGGGCGGCGAGTGGGGGGGAATGCGTTGCAAAAGTAAGACTCACTCACGCTCGGAAATGTGCATTCGCCTCGATTTTTCCCCCTTTGCAATCTTACACCGTCATCCGTTTGAGTCATGGTTTCAAGGCAGCGGCATGAACACGTTTAGCAAAAGAAGTCTACGAACTACACACCGTTTGGCGGTGACGGGTTTGGATTGGATCAGTTGACTTTGCCGTATCCACTTGCATGGGCGGCTGAGGAGAAGAGAATAGAGTCATTCAGTGAACTAGCTCCAGGAGAATTGGAGCCCAATGCGAATCACACGTGCGTTTCTTCCGAAGCCTCACGATGACACCTTACCAGGCAGAACGGGTTGAATACATCGTCATAGAAACCGAACCTTTATCCGGTGCACCGTCGTGAACGGAAACAAGACGGCAGGTGATCACTCTCCTGTGGATATGGGCGAAGCCAAGATTGCAACGAGGCGAAACGATTTGACCTGTCACGTTCTTCCAGGCACGACGTGGCCTGGTCGACTGGGGGTTGCGTCCGAGATAACCATGCAAGTCATTTTTCTTTTTTGTTCCATTGCTAATCGAACGGCTTCTATGACCGCAGACCGAAAATTGACGTCCTGTCGTCAACTCGTAGTGTAGGCACGAAAACCATGTGATCCCCCATGCTCCAGACCGGAAACCAAAGCCGAAATATTTTCCGTCACAGCGATAAGCGACAAAACAATTTTAAACCTCAGCAATCTCCCTCAGACGACGCAGAGTTGATCGCATAGCGGCGGCGGCGGGGGTACTGTATGAACAGTTAGTATTTCCTCTCTTGTTCATCTTCCTAGTCCAGGAGGACGGCGTCTGGAGAATCGAGGGGTGAGAAGGGGGCTTCACGCACGAGACAGTGTAGGCACCGCCGGCAACGGTTCGCTTGCAGGACTTGCAGTCCCAGATACCAACGGCCTGGCGACGTACAGTGACCTTGCCGCAGAAGGTGCAAGTATACTTGGCGTGCTGGGTGATTTCCATCTTCTTGACCTGCTTTCGCAGGGAGGCACCGTAACTATATCCATTATCAGTATGGCCTGCGTTGCAGTTGTTCTTCAAGCCCGAGTCTCTGGCATCTGCATCTCCCTTTGGAATGGCGAAGTTCGGCTCCAACCGATCTGGATATTATCGAAATAAGTTTTCTGATGCGGTTGCGGGTCTGAGCTGTCTGGAAGAGACCAATTGCTCTCGGAACTCAACGCCTGGAGACTGGTGTACCATGGGGAGTCGAGATCGTTTCCGGTCGAGAGATGCAGACGCCTTGGCCGAGGGAATGAATTCGTATGTTGGTGAAGCTTACCGGGTACCGTATTTACCGCTGTGATATAGTTAGCATTCTGGTTCTTTGGCTGGCAACACTTGAAAGGGATCAATACGTACGTCACGCCGACCTTCTTTGTGCGCTTGGTCATCTTGTCTGAGGTTGTGTGGTTTGACGACTCGAGGGGATGAGTTCGGTGTGATGCGGATGAGGCTTCTGATACCCGGATTTGTGATGGGAGTTGGGGTTGTGATTTTTCTTAGGGCACGCACGTGAGAGTTGGTGGGCTCGCAAAATTGGGCTTTGGTGGGACCCAAAATTGTAGTCAGCAGCTTCCCATTATTTTGGAGCTCAGAAGGGCTTCGGAAAAAAGATTATTCGGGGGGGGGGGGGGCTGTGGAACCCCACCAAGCGCAACAACTAAACTATTGCGCATCAAGGTCAGCAACATCAAATTCCGATAGGGTGTAGTAATAATCAATTTGATATCAACTAACTAGCATGATGAGAGTAGTATCGTTAGTGTATCATTTGGTTTTGCAAAGGCTATATTTTATCATTTCGAGAACATGAAACCTACAATGTGTTTTATCTCATCCTCGCTAATCTTCGCTTCAGTACGTACCGATCTATCTGGTTGGGCTACAGATTCCCATGCCTAGGCATTTCAGAAAGTTAAAAATAAGCCATAATGCCTTGCGCAATGTCCAAAACCTATCTGTAGACTGATATTTTTCTCAGTCAAAAGACGGGTTTCATGTCTGTTGGTCTGCCTATCAATTCGTAGCACTAGCACGTGGAGCACAAGGCCATACACTATCGTCAGCTGGGTATACTGCCTTTTCTCAGCAATGACGAAGAACGGGGTAACTCGATATAAACACCACACGTGCGTATTGGCTAGTAAAGATGTAGTTTAATCGTAAAAAATTGAGATTATAGATGGACCTATAGAGCGAGGTTTTCATACATTTTCATATGAAGACAATCTAGTGCTCATTCCTTTAATCGCCTGTGCAATCGAAACATTACCGATGGTATTAATCATATTAATCACAGATGGTATAGTGGACGTATTGACGTGCATTGCTCTATGAATTCAGGACCCTTCCTTCCTGGCATAGGTAGGTTTGAATTATCTCCCATCATACAGATGTGACTTATTAGTTTCCCGTCGCAACTTTTCGACAAGTGCCTTGCGATTTCGGCTCGGACCAAACCATCGTGACTCACGAACGAGATCTCTAATCTTACGCATACCAACCAATTTTCCAGCACATCCGCCAGCAGGCTTTCCTTTTTCCTTCTTTGCAAGCCGAGAGCAGAATACCTGTGAAATTATTACAAACTATCATGGCAGCTGTTATCCATCTCAGGTCGGAAACCAAGCCCTTTGAGCGGCGTTCTCCACGTACGCAACTTGACGAATCCCCGATCTAGCGCTCCTATAACCAGACTGACAAAATCTACTAGTATCACCCGAGACAGCCAAGGCTCTTGTGAGCGCTGGGTACATTGTGCGAGTTGAAGCATCGCCGGATCGCATCTATCGTGATGACGAATTCTCAGCTGCCGGTGCTGAGATTGTCACTGCTGGATCGTGGGTTGAAGCTCCCTCGGACAATATCATCCTAGGCTTGAAAGAGCTTCCCGCAGACGGCAGTAAGTATGATTGATCCGAGACTGATTATAATCGCTGACGATTTTCCTAGCACCCTTGCCGCACACATACATTCACTTTGCCCACTGCTTTAAGAAGCAGGACGGTTGGGCTACTGAACTGTCACGCTTTGCCCAAGCTGGGGGTTTGCTCTATGATCTCGAATATCTGCTGGATGACCGAGGCGCGCGTGTGGCAGCGTTCGGCTTCACTGCGGGATTCTCTGGTGCTGCGCTGGCCCTGTTGTCCTGGGCGCATCAAGTTCTTCACCCTGGAGTTCCTCAAGGCGCAGTCCCGGAATTCGACTCTGCATCTGCTTTAGTAGAACTCGTTAGATCTTCTGTTGTCGAAGCCATGGCACGGAACAATGGCAAGTGCCCCCGTATCATGATCATCGGAGCCTTGGGTCGTTGCGGGAAAGGGGCAACGGAGAGTTGCCTTGCCGCAGGGATTCCCGCGGAATCGATTCTCAAATGGGATATGGCTGATACCAGCCGTGGCGGACCGTTTTCCGAGATTGCCGACGTCGATATCCTCATAAACTGCGTTTATCTGGGTGCAAACCGCGCTCCGCCTTTTGTCACGCTCGAATCCTTATCGACACCGAACAGGCGGCTTCGCGTAATCTGCGATGTGAGCTGTGACCCAAACAGCGAGAACAACCCGATTCCTGTTTATTCTGGATATAGCTCTTTCGAAAACCCAACGATTCCGGCGTCGGGCAACCTAGACGGGCCGGAGCTGCGCATTATTGCTATTGACCATCTCCCCACCATGATTGCGCGCGAGGCAAGCGATGAGTATGCCAGCTTGCTTCTCCCCAGCCTCTTGAAACTGCGGGATCGTGAAACGGAAGGCGTCTGGACTCGAGCAGAACAGACGTACCGACAGCGAGTGTCCGAATTGTCGTAAAATTGGGCAGGCTATTTCAGGGGAGACTCTCGAGGGTAACTCAGTAGATGGCAAGTAATTGCAAGTAACATATAAGTGATATATGTCGGTAAGGAGACGAGCAGGAGACGCTATCCTAAGCCTGGGCTGACTACGCTTAGCCTAAGCCTACCCTTTCTGCCTAGAGGTCACCTGAAGCCCGACAGCATCGATAGAGGTCGAGAGCCCGAGGAACGTTAATAGTTTGCGAGGCAGTATTAGATGCGTGGGGCTGGGTAGCAAGCAAGGCACGTTGCAAGCAACAGCCTCGTAGCGTGAGCTTCACATCAAAGATGAGACTTTGTTCATCACTATCGGACACGTTGAAGAGACTGTTCGTCCAACAAATGTACTTGACGCCGTAGAAATAAGACTGCCTATTTTGTTTTTTACTCCCTCACTAGGTACGGCTATTACCGTCACCGACCGGGTGTCGATGCAAAGCACCCTGAGCGACGCTACCAAACGACGCGATCATGATACCTCCCCAAGTCTTATGGCTACCATTCAGGTATCGAGGTAGTGAAGAGGGTCACTAGACACCGGGCGCGACTAATCTGTCCGCTCCTCGTCCCTGGCGCGTCTAGCCGAATCCTGAACCATGGCGAATATTGGATGAACTTGAGGAAACACAGTGCAAATTCAAGTATTGCGGGTGAGAGGGCATAGGTCCGCATGCAGCCCGGGAGGTTATGTGAGTATGTTGATGATGCTCACTGAGCAATGGTCAGAGCGGCGTGCTGACTAACCAACCAAGCGGCAGATCTCTTGGGTGACATTGAAATTGAGACACTCAAACATTAAGCTGCTTATTCTCGAGTCTGCGACCGGTCTTGTTAGGCTACTAAGTGCGAATAAAATATACTCCAGAGATAATATAGCGTATATTGTTACTGTGTTTAATCTAAATTACTGAAACTCTCTATTTATTGTAGAAAGTAGTATATTCATAACTGACTCTTCTATTAGGTGTCTCATTTCTCCTGTCACCCACTTGGCAGACTGCCTATGTATGTATATAGGTGGCTTTTCAAATTCTGAGCTTCCCTTTCTTAGCGCAAGCACCGAACTTAGCAAACTGCTCACGAGCCATCATCCTGAGTTCTACATTTGATACTTTCTGCTCTCTTCTAATAATTTAATTTAGTCTTCAAAGCTCCTGTCTCCAAGCTAATATGTCGCTGAAAAAACATGACCGCCAGTATGACTTGGTCGTATTTGGGGCAACAGGTAAAATCTGTGAAGATTTAGCGGTAATGAAGGAGACGCTGATCATCGGGGTCCAAACTCTAGGATATACTGGCAAACACACTGCGGAGTTCGTCACGAAGAACCTTCCCACAAATTTGAAGTGGGCGGTTGCTGGACGGAGTCAGCCGAAGCTTCAAGCTGTGGTCGATGCGTGCCGGGAGCTGGTTGCTGACAGGGAACAGCCAGGTTCGTCTCACAGCAAACCCCAACACCTTAAACAAACAACGGATGCGCAAGGCCAATTACCACAACAGCCCACCGCAGCATTGTGATATGCCGGCTAATCATGATTGTTGAAATTTAGCCATTGAAATTGCTGATGTGACGGATGAGGCGTCGATCACTGCGCTTGCAAAGAAGACCTTCATCTTTATCAGCACTGCTGGTCCCTATAGTAAGTATGGCGAGGCCGTCTTCAAGGGGTGTGCTGAGAATGGCACACACTACGTTGACTGCACGGGCGAGTTCCCATGGGTTGGCAACATGATCACCAAGTATGAAAAGGTGGCCAAGGCGAGTGGTGCGCTCATGTTCCCCCAGACTGGTCTCGAGTCTGCTCCCCCTGATCTGTGCTCATGGGCAATGGCCAAATGCCTCCGAGAGAACCTCAATGCCCAGACGGGGAGAGTTATCATGTCCATTCACACCCTCAGGTAATGTCGTAGACTTCATCCTTGTGCTTACTGGAGATGATCGGCAGCTAACTCTCATTTTAGATCAAGCGCGTCTGGAGGAACAATAGCATCTGTGTTGAACGTTTTCGAGACCTTCAGCTTGAAAGAGCTACAAGCAGCCACCAAACCTTATGCATACTCTCCAGTTCCTCGCGAGGGCCAGGGGCGGTTCCAGCCAGGTATCATGGCTAGGATATTTGGATCCAGGAATATCCCCGACCTTGGTACAGTCACTACTTCACCGGCAGGGTCCACGGATGCGTTCATCGTTGAGCGCACATGGGGTCTCTTGTCTGCGACGCCAAGCCGAAAAGCTGAATTCTACGGGCCAAACTTCACCTTTGAAGAGTACCTGAGGGTCCGGAACTGGATACAGGGAGTGGCACTCCATTTCTTTCTGACCCTTGGTCCGGCTCTCTTGTTGCTATCCTCATTTGCACGGTCACTGCTGAGAAGGGTTACACACCAACCGGGACAGGGCTCTGACAGGGCTTCAGCCACAAGGGAAGAAGTCGAGTACCGTGGCACTGCTGAACCGGATGTCAAGCCCGGATCAGGCCAAAAAGCGGTTTGTCGCGTGCGCCATTTCGGCGGCCCGTATGCTTGTAAGTTTTACCCCATATAGACTTGCATGCCTTTTGTCGGTGAATCAATTCGTTGCTGACAAGCTTGCTATAACAGTGTCTGGACTTCTGATGGCCCAAGTGGCTCTTACTCTTCTCGAGGAGGATGTACAGCTCGACGGCGGTATCTATACGTCGGCATGCCTGGGGCAGGGCTTGATCGACCGGGCTGCAAAGGCTGGCTTCAAGATAGAGACTGAGATTATCTCTTGATACCTGGGATCAGAGGAAGATATTCGGTTGGTTATGGACGTACGATGTTCTTTCCTCTGGTAAGCTTAAGTGATGTCTGGTCTAATTCTTCCCCTGGGATTCATAGCCAGCTGGGCGAAGCCTATTCAGCCATCTACCCAGTACCTCTAAATCCATTCTTTACTTCTTACCGCAAAAACCATCCATATAGTAGCCACTTATGTGAAAAGAGTCCCGTGAAGTTATGCGACAGCTATGCGTGGCGTTTGAGACGTATTCGTTGTGTATGGTAACGGCGTTGCCCTGAGAACTGAGAGAAGGGCAGCATGAGCTTGACCATCCTCCACTGTAGACCTCCACTGTAGACCGTGTCGGAAGGCACTGGGCCCGGGGAAGTTTAATGGTTCGCATCCACTATTGCTAGGCCCCACATCCGCCCTTCCATAGCGCCAAAGTGTTCTGTTGCTGCAGTGTCAAACGTCATCAATATGCAGTTTCCCGCGTAGCTTTTTTGTAAGGACCGATCATCGTTCATTGGCCTGGAGAATTTGACTCCAACCACACCATTCGACGACACACGACCAGACTCGCGCCGACCGAACAGAAATCGGCAGTCCAAGTTGTTTCCCACTTTGCCCATGGACATGATTGCCGCGCATTGAATCTCAATCGTTGGCTTTTGCCAGCATACTCGGGAGGACCTCTAGCTGTTGCGATCGATATCATAAACAATGGCCTCCAACTCGAACACCGCAGACGCGGGGCACCAGGCCAGCGAGGAGACTCCCCTCCTCCACTCCCCTGATAGCAGCCGTCACAAGAGCCACCGAAGCGTCACTTTCAGTGCCAACCCCGTTAGCAGGACTATCGAGCCGGAACCGCTCCGACCTTACAACAAGAGGCACAGCACCGCCTTGGACACCCGCAATCCGGGTAACACAACGAGTGGCCCGCCGGTGCTCGCTGCCCTAAACAACAAGTTGCGGAGGAGGAACAGCCACAGCTCGGCTCTCCCAACAGTCGCGCATCTCTCCGGTCCCAAGATTGGACCTCAGCGAAGCACGAAGAAGACCGAGAAGCTGAAGCTCCTGCCGAACCCGGACCTTGGCGAGGATGCACCCGATGAAGAGAGCGGCCGAGATGTCTATTCCCAATACACCCGAATCAAAGATCCCACAGCTAGGAGAGATGCGGCAAGGTTGGGCAAAGCGGACCGAGACAGACTGCCAAGGGTGACGGCGTATTGCACCGCCAATCGCTATGAGATGGAGGCGCTCATGCGCTTCTTGAAAGGAAAAGCCAGAACCAGAGACTCAAACCCCAAACTCATAGACGAGTGTATATACACTCCTTACAAATACGTGAAGGCGCCGCCTGTGGCTAGTAGCCGCCATGACCCCGTGACGGCTTACGAGCGCCGACACTCAACTGGAAGCGAGACTGCACAGGAAGAGCAGCAGCGGAGGGAGACACTCATCGATGTACCAGAGGACCCCAGTAACGGACACTCCAACGGATCCTCTGTTCCCGATCTCAGCAATCTTCGCGGCGAGACTCTACTGGGCCCAAGCATAATCGACGACGATAGCGCTATTGATAGCACACCCGACTTTGACACAAACGTTCACACACCAGAAGTGTTTCTTTTCGACTACGGAGTCGTTGTGATATGGGGCATGACCGCTTCGCAGGAGGCCAGGTTCCTGAAAGAGATTGCCAAGTTCGAGCTTGAGAAGCTTGCGCCAGACGATGTCGAGACGGAGCATTTCAACTTTTATTACACGCACGAGTACCAGGCTCGCATTTACAATGACTTCATCACGCTGCGGGATAAGAACAACTACATGACAAAGCTGGCTATTTCGCACGCCTTAGCCCAGAGCGTCAAGGTATGTGCCTATAGGTCCCTAAATGAGAATTGGCTATTGGCTGCTTTCATGTGACTCAATCGGCTGACTTTTAACCTACCAGACCTCTCTATTTGAAGAGCTTATTGCTTCAACTGTTGAGACATGTAAAGACATCCCGACACAGATCGCCCTCACCGGCAAGATCGACCTCAACCCGTCCCAGATCAACATGCAGATCGGCGAGCTCTTCATCCTCAGAATCAACATCCACCTCAACGGCTCCGTGCTGGACACCCCCGAGCTCTTCTGGGTCGAGCCGCAGCTGGAGCCCGTCTACCAGGCCGTCAGGAGCTATCTCGAGATGGACCAGCGGGTCGGGCTTCTGACAGAGCGCCTGGACGTCATTGCCGATCTGCTCGCCGTCCTCAAGGACCAGTTAAGCCACGGCCACGACGAGAAGTTGGAATGGATTGGTGAGTAAAACCCAAGATTTTGTGTGTTTTTCCTACTGGTTGTGGTCATTATTTGCTGACAGATGCTTTTCTTCCTTAGTGATTATACTTATTGCTGTCGAGATCTTGGTGGCGGCTATTAATATCGTGGTTGACATTACTGCGGAGGGTTGAAAAAAAAAAAACACATCGTACACATCGGAATTGAGCTCTTGGAATAGAACAGAGACGAGGGCGCGATGCGTGGGGTTTTGCTGGTTTTGCTTAGATATACGCAGGCACTGTATTCATAGTTCACAATCTTGGTAGAACATCTAATCTGGTAGACATATGAGCTTCACAGCGAAAACGTGTCTAGGAAAGAGATCTGGGAATGTCATCCTTGTTTTCTTTTCATCATTTATCGAGGGGACCCTCTTGTCCACCCCTCCCCCTTCGTCTAGAGCTTAGTAGATGATGCGTAATTGCATCTTTGAGAGACCAGATATTCCCACCCTTAAAACGCCATGTAGAGTTACAGAACCTAATCGCAGATCAATCCTTGCTTTCCTTTGCCTCCTTGTCCTCCTTGTCCTTCTTGTCTTCCGCCTGCTCAGCGTCTTCGCTATTACCCATCTCCACATCCTCATCTTGGGCAGCTGGCTTGGAGGATGCCGGCTCATCCTCCTTCTTCAATTCGGGAGCGGCGTCATCCTTCTCCTTCTCCTCATCCTCTTTGGAGTCCTTGTCCTCCTTCTCTCTCCGCTTCTCCAGCTCTACAAACTGGGCCTTGTACTCGTCCTTCTTCTCATCAGACAACTCCTTCCATCGGCGCTCTAGCTCCTCGTCAACATTGACGTCTTCCTTGTCCTTGCTCTGCTCCTCTACTACCGCCCGCTCCTCGGAGCAGAACAGCTCGAACGCATCGCCCGGCTTGGCGGACTTCTTCGCGCCATTCGTGGTACCTTTCTTACCGGCGTCGCCTTGCTCCGACGGCGCGGGTGATCCAGATCCGGCTCGCTGGGTGAAGGAGGCCGAGGGGGTGTCTTTGCCGTCTGCGTCGGTCTTGCGGTGGCCGCGCTTGATCCGCAAGGGCTTGTCCTTAGGCTTGCGGACGTTAGCGTCGGCTTCATGGATGCCGGCAGAGAAGTGCTCCTATTGGCACACAAGGATCAACACTGAAATGAAGGTAGGTTATAGTAGAAATCGGAAGTGGAAGCTTCCATTTCTTTGACGTGCACGCTTGACGGTTTATTTTGGGAGGGCGTGTAGTGTGGACAGGGTAAGCAAGAAGTAGGTGAAGCGAACGCGGAGGAGAAGCAGTAGACATGCCATGATGTGCTACAGTTAGGAGAGCGGACGTGAGAGGAATTGGATAATAAGCAACAGAGCGTATTATATCATACCGTGGGCGGAGGGCTTGGGCTTCCCTCGGAGTCTTCGACGTTGGTGCTCGTGCGCTTAGCAAGTTGTTCCAGGAGGAAGGCCCTTTCGATCCTCAACTTCTCGACCTGGCGCTTAATTCGGGAGAGACGAAGTCTGGCGGCGTCGTTGGCCTCTTCGACCTCGTTGGTGCGATTCTTGAGCTGGATGCATTTGCGACGGTAGGCCTCCTCGACGGATGGAGGCAGCGACGGCGGGACGGCTGATGCGGTTGGAGCAGAGTCAACTTCTGTATGCTTGCGCTTGGGTGGCATCGCGACCGAGACGAGAGGCTTTGGGGAGGAGGGAGAGGGAGATGGACGGAGGGTGGTCTCGATAGCTGTCGGGATGGGGAGTGATGAGGAAAAAGTGGGAAGATGGCTGGCCGAGAATCGAGCTCTGTTTGCCTTGTCTGCATGCGCAGGCCGTTACTGGACCGAAGGGCAGCGAGCCGTTGGCAGGTAATTTGCCTTGACAGACAGTGCTGAACTCAACTGGGTGGTGCGGTTGCAGGAGAGTCGAACAGGGTTCAGGCAAACAATGGGGACCGCGGACCTGGTGTAAGGGAGGAAAACTCACAAGATTGGGGAGCCATGATGCTATCAGACGCCAATTTCAGGGACGCGCAGTGCAGCGCCGTGCGGATAGCCCAGGGAAGGACTGATTGTCTTGCGAGAACTCGACTCCCAGCAAGAACGTGCCAACGTGCAGCAACTCCCAATTGCGAGACTCGATCGCGCTTGGAAGGCGGTGGGCGAGTTTATAGGCTCCTGCAGCTCAGCTCTGGCAGTCCCCAGACGCCTTTCTCGGCCGGGTGGGTCACCACGCTCCTGCGCCAGGGACGTGCATCTGTCGAATTGTGCATTCGGGTTAGTGCTGTGCTATGCACGTTGTGCAAATTGTGAACCCTCAGACTCCTCCATCTTTACCGTTGATGAGAGGGCTGAGTAGCAAGTTGACTTCCATACAGATAACAGGAGAGAGTTACAAATAATTGAAGACATGCATAGGCTTCCATCACAGACAACTCAATTGCGAGAAGATATTGTTCCAGGCTTGGCCATTCTGGTACAGAGCAACAAATCTCTGGCAGTCAATCAAAAAGCTCCTTCTCCCTATCCCAAACGCAGAATGACAAAGCAAGCGGTGGAAGGCCACTATCAAGAGATTCGTCCAGCGCGGTTGCCTCCAAACTCCACCGCCCACGTCCAGGGGCAACAGCAAGGTGGAAGCTTCCCGCAGCTGGAACGGATTAACTGCTCCCGGAGGGGTCCGCAGTCTGCCTGATTGGCTAGCGGGGCACTTCAGTAGCACAAACATCCCCCAAGACTGTAGATTTTCTGAGGGCGGCGGTATCCATACAATTATATTTGGAGGTGACGCTTGGCTTGTCCTCGAGGAGAATCGTTCAGCTTTCCCGGACTTTTCTCTCCCTCCTTTGGGCCATCGCTAGAAGGACTCGCAAGTCAACATGTCTCTCAATATTCCCGGCGCTCCCAACGCCAACCTGTTCAAGCAGGGCTACAACAAGTAGGTCCATTCTCCCTAAGCTATCTGTATTCCATCCCCTTCCTCGCTTCACCCCACCAAACGAAAAAGAGGAAATGGGAAACCACCAACATTCGCCTCGGCGCTGTACTGCCGCCATTACATCCGAAGGAAATGCATATGCTCAATAGTATGTCGGTGTCGGTTCAATGCTGACATTCAACTGGCAGCTATGACGCTGAAGATGGCGCCGTCCTGCGCAACATCGATGCCTGCCGGGCAATCTCCTCCACCGTCCAGACCTCGTTGGGTCCCTACGGCCGAAACAAGGTCATCATCAACCACCTTCAGAAGATGATCCTCACCTCCGATGCCGCGACTATCCTCCGAGAGCTCGATGTAGTACACCCCGCCGCCAAGCTCCTCGTCATGGCCAGCCAGCAGCAGGAGGCCGAGATGGGCGATGCCACCAATCTCGTCATCATCCTAGCTGGCGAGCTACTTAAGAAGGCTGAGGATCTCTTGCGAATGGGCCTCAAGGCCTCTGACATTGTTATTGGTTACGAAAAGGCACAAAAGTTTGCTCTCGAGACCCTGGAGGAGCTGGAGGTAGACAAGGTCGAGAATATGCGTGACCAGGAGGAACTTAGCAAGGCGATCCGCACCGTCATTGCCAGCAAGCAGAACGGCAACGAGGACTTCCTGGCCGAGCTCGTCTCTGAGGCTGTTCTCTCGGTCCTGCCAAACAACCCAGCAAACTTCAACGTCGACAACATCCGCGTGGTCAAGATCATGGGTGGCAGCTTGGACCAGAGCAGGGTCGTCAAGGGCATGGTTTTCCCCAAGGAGCCCGATGGAAGTGTCAAGAAGGCCACCAAGGCCAAGGTCGGTGTGTACACCTGCCCGATCGACGTCAGCCAGACCGAAACCAAGGGAACTGTTCTCCTCCACAATGCCAAGGAGATGGTTGATTTCACCCAGGGCGAGGAGTCTCAATTGGAGACTTCAATCAAGGAGCTTTACGATTCCGGTCTTCGCGTCGTTGTCGTCGGTGACCGAGTTGGTGACCTGGCCATGCACTATCTGAACCGATTTGGTATCCTATGCATCAGGATTCTCAGCAAGTTCGAGCTGCGCAGAGTCTGCCGTGTCGTCGGTGCTACCCCTCTGGCACGTCTGGGTGCTCCTATGCCTGACGAAATGGGCAATATCGATGTTGTTGAGACTCTGGAAATTGGTGGTGACCGGGTTACTGTCTTCAGGCAGGAGGATGAGGTCACTCGCACAGCTACTCTGGTTCTTCGAGGAGCCACACAGAACCATCTCGATGACGTTGAGCGTGCTGTTGATGATGGTGTCAATGTTGTCAAGGCTATCTCCAGGGACCCCAGGCTCGTGCCCGGCGCGGGTGCCACAGAGACTCAGTTGGTGGAGAGGATACAGGCATTTGGAGAGAAGACCCCTGGCCTCAGCCAATATGCTATCAAGAAGTATGCTGAGGCTTTTGAAGTTGTCCCGCGCACTCTGGCAGAAAGCTGCGGCCTAGATGCTACCGAGGTTCTCAGCAGACTCTATGCTGCTCACCACAACAGCGAAGAGTGGGATACTGGTGTTGATGTTGACGTACGTATTACTTCTTTGTCCAGCGATCTGGTCGCTACGCTTTCCGATCCTATACTAATCAATCTGGCTTTCATAGAACGAGGAAGATACGGGTATTCTGGACACCAAGGACGAGGGCATCCTCGATCTTCTCGTATCCAAGCACTGGGCCATCAAGCTCGCCACCGAGGCAGCAAGAACAGTTCTGTCCGTCGATCAAATTATCGTCGCCAAGCAAGCTGGAGGGCCCAAGCCACCCGGCCCCAACCCCGTAAGTTCATACCCATCACCCTGATCATTAACTCCGAATACATTTTGTCTTCTCCATGAAAGTCTTCTTGAGCTAACAATTATCTTTAGAACTGGGACGAGGATTAAATCTAGAATAGACAATACAATGATGATGCTCAACGCCCCGAACCGATGTGAGAGAATAAATTCACCGATGAGAGGCGCCTGGCGTCAAAAGGGATGAAATGCAAAAATGCTTATACTTCTATCATGTAATGCACCCAGGTGTAAAAACGGTGTTTATCTATCTATCCCCCTAGGTCGAAAATTACCTAGAAAGTACACCCAGGCAAGATGGTCAATATCTTGATTATATCGCAGCCTGGGAATAATCTAACGAGCCAGGAAACAAAAATAGACTGCATTATGATGAAACATGAGGATTATGTGAAGAAGATGTGTTCAGGAGTGTGAGAGAAGGTGCCTTCGCAACGTCTACGATGAACGGAACACGAACTATGTAGACTCTGTATTCTTCAATTCCAGTATCATCACGACTTGGGACTTGCGAGCAATCGGGACAGTTCATGAGGTACTAAACTTGCTGTTCGTGCTCTCTTTAAAACATTGCATACATTTATATCCCCTGTAGCAACATCTCATTGCGGCATTCCATCTTCGGATGCCCATGATCCTCGCAAATGTAAACAATTGTACAAGCTTTCTCCCAATGCCTAGATATTCAAAGGCGAACATGTATCCTCCAGCCTTTCAAAGCCACCATATGCGTAAGAGCATCATAATCGCATACTACCTGAAGGGACGATGACTCCCATCTCCATAAATCATAGCAAAAAAAGAAAATGATAAGTTAAAGGAATTGATCAGATATCAAAAAGAAAGAGGATATCGAAGAAATGGATTCCAACGACGTAAATAGGAATGTAAAACCTTGGAGGTTGCACACGCTATATGAAATAAAATAGCAGTGGCGGGTATGAGAAAAGAGAGAAAATGATGTTCAACAAGTAACCCAAGAGGTATCATTTCATGTCTCGCACTCCGGCCAAAGACGAAAGAGCATGTATCACGCGTCGACGACAAAAGAGCAATCAGCATAGTGAAGGGACGAATAATGGACGACAAAAAAAAAAAAGCTGAAAAGCATCTCCCAAAACACCGATTTTCAAGACGCCATTGTCAAATCGCTTGGAGAAAAAAATAGGGCAGATGATGGGAAGTTGCTCATGCTTCTTCCACAATGCCACCCTCTCCACCACCCTCGTCACGCCATTCGCGGCTCTTCTCAGTGAGCTTCTTCACTCCACTGACGCGGCCGGCCCATAAGCCTTCAATAGGTGTTCTGAAGGTGAAGCCACGTTGTGAGCTAATGACACCAATAGCTTGGAGAACTGCCTTTCGACTGTCGCGGCCAAAGACCGCTGGGTGGTTGATCCATTCAAGGCTGCTCTCGAGTTCATGATCCAGGGCTGCAACCGTGGTAGCGTCGATACCAGTGCCAAGGCTCAGACCTTCCTGAGATCGTGTTGCTGGGAATGGTGTATTCGAGTATCCGTTGTTATTCCCGGATGAGGTTGCTGAGGTGGGCGGCGACGGGCTTCGTTTACGGTCCGGCGTGTTGGACGGATTAGATGATGAATCATTGCCTGGCAGTGGTGTTGGGGGCCCGTTCTTGCTTGCCATCGGTGGCACTGGGGGAAGGCCACCCTTACCAAGGCCTTTAAGAATTGAGCGTGTCTCGTTGAGGAGAGTATGCGCTCTCTCATGCTGACCTCGGCTGACCAAAGTCAAGGCTCTCGTCAACATATCAGAGGTAAGTAATTCCATGCGCCTCTGCACAATGTGTGGGTGAGGGGGAATGGGGGGGCTTCCCTGCCACGACTTCTTCTGGCCACTCGCGGCTGGCAACATTGTAATTGCCAATAGCGACGGT